TGGGTCACAGCCAGTGCTGTGCATGGATCCAAGCTCCCTTCGAGTGACCCAGACTGGCAGAAAGATTTATGAAGATTTACAAAAATAAAGGTCACAATTTGAACTGTCTGTGAAATGTCTGAGCGGGCAACCTGGCTTTGTCTACACAAACCAGGGCCAGGATTCTGCACCGTTTAACTGCCAGTACACTCCCCAGCATGGTTTTGATCCACAGCAAGCTAGCACATAGCATGATCTGGGTGATGGCATGGGTCTGCAATCCTGGGTATAGCCAGCCTGTTTTGGGGAAGGATGGCTGGGCTGTGTGGACTGAGCAGAGCAGAGCTGGAGAAGGGACCATTCTCCTCCCAGAGGCCTTGCAGACAAGGTGAGACAGCCAAAGGATACAGAGAGAAAGTGGAGCTGAGAAATACTGGGCAGGGTGACAGCACTGATAGTGCACCAGAAACCTGCCCATTGTGCAGCGAAGGAAGGGTTTAGGCAGTGATTTGAAGGACAGCTGCAACATGGTGCTTGGGGAGAACTCCTATTTTATGAAACTTTAAGGACACCCTGCTCCAGCTCAGCAGGACCTCTCAAGCACCCTGGAAGGGAAGTAGAGTGGGCAAGAAAAGCCAGTGTAAGGAAGAGAAGGAGGTTTGCTGACGCTGCCACAGGCTTTGTGGAGAAGCCCATTCTCAGTGTCACCACAAGGTGGAACTTGGTACATACCACATGCACCGAAGATGCACCCACTGTCAACAAGCAGCAGCATCTTTGGCTGGACATGCACCAATGCTTATGGTCTCAGCACCCACTCCCTGGTCCCTGCTCCACCGGAGGGAGCAAGAAGGGGAGCGCTGGTGTAGAGAAGCCATTGACATTTTTTGTTAGTGGTGAGAAACTGGCTGTTCTCAAGCTCTGCTGCACCAGCAGCAAGACCTGGTCTTCGGAGCGTGTGAGGTGTGACTGGGGAGAATAAAGCTGAGAGCAGCGAGTGGTGTCCTGGAGGTAGCAAGGAAGGAGGAAA